GCTGCATGAAGACTCACAGCCGAGCACACCACAGGCAAGAGTTTAATCAGAGCCATGAGCTGTGGCCATGGGGCTGCCCACCTCCACCCTGTGACCACGATCACATCCCTCCTGCTGCTACTGCCCACCTGCCCCAGCAGCTGGAAACCAAAACTGCAACCACACTCCTTCCTCCCATCGAAGAGCAGGGTGCTGGTTTGTGCCCTGGTTACGCCTGCCCACACACAGCAACACTCTGCAAGGAGAGCTCAGGTCAGGACCCTGCTTCACCATCTAAGGTGCTGATGCAGCTGGGAGCCCTTGGAGTGGGGGAGAAAACCAGATTTCAAGGAAAAATAATTCTCCAGCTGTGTAGTGAGTTTTGACCCAGTTGATGCTCAATATCAAGTGAGCAGCTTGGTTTTATCCTTGACTTTCTTTCAAGGCCTTACTAGGAATTTCAGAAGAAACAGCCTGAAGCATATGCTTGAGTCAAAGGCAGTCTCTGAAAGCTGGAGAACACCTGGTGGGCTATTCCTCCCAGGGCTTTGCAAACAGTCTGTCTTTGGGGCGATTCTGTGTCCAAAACGATATGCAGAGGTAAGTTAGAGAGTGTGGACTGCCTGGCTTTGCTGAAAGTCAGCTTCCAAACGGTGCTGCAGAGGGTGGGTGAGATTCTCCTCTCACCTGGCACAAGCATCCCAGAGGGTACATGCAAAGCCCTGGCGTTAGCCTTGTATCTTCACGTAGTCCAAGATATCCAGCATCTCTCCCGCACTCATTATGAAAATTCTTTCATTATTCTTCCCTAATGCGCTTTACTCACTCTCTTCACACAGCAGGTAAACGCATGAACATTTCCCAGCTATGGACGATCGAAACTCATAGCCAGGCTGGGGTTTAACCTACAATTATTGAAAACCTGTTGTTATGGGATGCAAGAGCCATCAGCCAGCTATCCGCATTCATCACTGAGGTGCAAGGTACACATTGGTTAACCATATCTTAGCGTTACTAATAATTTGTGTGACCTTCATGCTGTTGCCCAAAGACACCAGAACACCACACTTTCTTTCTGGGCAGCATGTCCTATGACAGTCCCCAAAAAGATCCTGACCTGCACATTGCGTATCACTGCAAAGTATGTGGAAGACAAGGTATCCACCTTTAATGCCGTGCTGCTGACAAAAGCCACACAGATACCTCTCCAGAGTTAAGGTGATGTTGTAGATGAGAGGCAGAAGGGAGGCCAAGACAGGAGTCAGGGAAGCTGGAATCAGATCAAACATAAGGGCTCCTGGGGCTGCACCAGTCTGGAAGCACTCAACTGGAACCGTCCTCCTTTTCTGGTTCACCTCCACCTCAGAGGGACAGGAGACAACAATCCCCAAAGGGCAGCACAGAGGCAGTAACCACATCAGCATTTAGGAAGGGATTATCTGAATCACTACAGAGGACAAGTGCTGACCTCTGGTTAAATAAACACATCCTCACCACACACAGTCTAGGTAGTCTTTTCCCTGAAGGATGAGACAGATTCAGGATTAAACATCTGAAATTGGTCACTTTAAATTCCCATCAGCTAGAGCTAGACAGGTGTCAGGTTCTGGCCCTTTCCAGAGTCCCTGACAGGGATTCCTCTTATTCGGCAAGAGGAGCACATGCTATGCCAAACTGTACCCCAGCACCATCACTGGTTACAGGAAGAGCAAAAGGAAAAGACTTGGGGGACAGCTATATCCTAGGCTGCCTTTTAGAGACACACACCATCCTCATCTCAAATAAAACTTGGCATCACTGAAAAAAGAGCCTTCCTCTTCCCATATTAGGGATTTTATAGCTCAGCTGAGGTACACAGCTCACTTGTAGAATATAAACACAGTCCCCCTCCCAGCAGAACACCCCAATTGTTCTTTGCCATAGCTTGCACAGCTTCCCGTGTCCATCACAGCCAAACCCTTTCTCCACTCACACTACACGTTTTAGTCTGGATGCCAGTTTTCCTCTCTAAACTGGATTAGACAGATGATTTTTCACATGTTTTTCCTGTAACAGGATAGAGAAGTAACTTCTAATGCAGACAAAAAGAAGATCAAGTACATCACTGAGTCTATGCAGCTGAACATTCATGCTTTAGGTGATTTCCTAACCTAGTTGGAGGGCTACATAATTGCTCAGTGACACAGCCTGTGTCATAGAACCATAGAATCATTTAGGTTGGAAAAGTCCTTTAAGATCATTGAGTCCAACCAGTAGCATTCAGGCCAGGTGTCAAGAAACCACATGCTCGAACTGGATGCAGATTACTGGCATGGGCTGGGGGTGGTTGCTCTTCTTATGACTACATAAGCCACAATAAGAGACCATCTTTCCATAAGAGTTCACATGGTATCTGCTTTCATCAGTACCCATTATGCAGAGCAGTGCCGTAAAGACCTCATCAGCAAGCTAACAGATGTGACCTGAAGTCCTCTCCAAAAGGTCCCAAAGCACTTCAAAGTGTCTGGCAGCCACTTGTCCACAGTAAGCCTTTGTAGTGCATATGATTATCTGTACTAAGTACTTAAACCCTGTGAAATGAAGAAGAGTCAGCAATATGTCAGGAGAAAAACCATTCCAGTCTAAACAAGACCTAAGTACTTGCTGTACCAGTGATATGCTGGCAGAAGCTCCCTATGCCTAGATGGAGGAAGACTTATTTGTACCAGCATATGAATCCTCTCTCTTTTAGGTCTAAAAACTAACCCATAGGCCCAAAATTAGGCCAATGGTCATATTCTGTTTGTCTTCTAGAATGACAGGAGACAGAATAGGGAGTATAATCTGCCAGACTACACAAACATGCCTGGAAGGTTACTGAATGCCCACAAGTCACATATGCTCTTTCCTCTAAAATAGCTATTATTCTTCAGATCAGATCAGCAGTAAGCAAATCCTGCACACAGCACAAAAAGCAGCTTAGCATTTGAGCAGTTCTGCATCCACACTCATCGCATCCTACTTTAGGGATGGACTGGAGTAAGGTAGAAGACAACTCATAAAATAGGATAGGGTTTTTCCCTGAGAAAACAAGCACATAAAATTATCCTTAAAAGTTCAGTATGACATAACATGGTTAACAATTGTATTTCCCAGCCAACTACACTATTTCAGAAGTGGGATGTGAAGATTTTTGGCCAGAGTCCTGATGTGAACTTCATCTGTCAACATACCACGTTGACAGAAAGTCTAAGTAGATTCCTCTTCCTTCCCCTGAAATCCAAAGTGTTCCAACCAGAGGTTGTGGGTTTGGCTCATCATCAGTTCTTGTTCACATCTGTGAGGCTGTCATATGTTAAATGCTTTTTTATAAAGCAAAACTCCTTATTTCCTAAAGTTTATGTTGTGCTGAGAGATTTTACTAAGAAAACTAGAGGTCAACAGTGAAATATTCTGAACAGCCAGCCAACAACCACAACATTCATGGCAAGTGAAGGAACACTGTGAGAGATTAGAGAGCAACTATTGAGCTATGCTGTGCTAGGTCATTAAAACCTTTAGGAAAAAATCTTGCAATTCTTATAGCTACCTGCTATAACTGTTCACACAAAGCTTATTTACAAGACCAGATGCTCCTCTCATTTCAGTATCATTAACAACCAGAGCTCAACAAGTCTCTGCCTGGGCAAGCCAAGACTTCTCTCTTCAACCAGTTGTGTATGTTCAACTGAAAAAATAGAACTGTAATCAATACATGTACTTACATGCTGTATCTAAATGAATAAACAAAGCAATAACCATTAAGTTCATAAATTCCTCACATGTAAAATTCAGGGGCACATGAACATATAATGCTAAGTCACATGGCTTTATTACCAATACAATGAATTGCTGACATGTTACACCTAACATGTAAAACCCTTCTGTTTCACAAGTCTTTCCTAGGAGGACAGCAGGTGCATTGCTTCTAATCCTGCCTGACAGTCCTTTTAAACATCACCTCATTCTAGCTCATTCAGTCTTTGCAAAGTATAGGGCAATGGAGAAATACAAAGGAAACCAATGTTTGTCATATGACACTCGTGACTGCAACTGGATGTTTCAGTGTAATTTAAATTACTTTCATTTTCTCAAGCCATGCCCCTAACAGAAACAGCCAGTGAGAGGTCTGAAGTCAATCCACCCTGCACAGTGACATATTGATACAACAGTCTGGTAGTAACAGCAACTTTCTATATTTCTGAAACATTTGCCTATTTCTCTAACTTTTCTATTATTATTTTTTTTAGCAATTAACTGTAATTTCTTCTGAAATTAATTCAGAAATGGGATTTCTTTTCCATTGTGGACAACACTGTCTTCCATGTGTTGGCTTGTGGCCATTACACACATGCTAACTAAGCAAAAAGGCAAAGGTGAATCTGAATCCTTGTGTTCAAAGGGCATGATTATTCTCAGCCTGTCTGCAGGGCAAGACAAAACCCTGCTCCAGTCTACAAAAGTAGATTAAGATTTGCTTGCAAGCCATCCTACTGACTTCAACAGGTGCTGAGCTCTGCAGATCAGGTGCTCCTGGGGTAAAAATGCTGTGTTTCATCAGCAGAGACGCCTACTTTTAGAATCAAGAATTGTCAGGACTGTTGAAAGTCTTGAAAGGCTTCAGATTTTTGTAACTGCTTGCATCAAAAATAGATAGTATCCCACAGAAGCAAAAGTTAACATCACAGGGAAAGGCTTCTCGTAAGTGTAATACCAAGATCACAGCTGCCACTGGCCCAAAAATGTGCAGCCTGTCTGCTCCCAGGATGCATTATAGTTTCAATACATGAATTAAACCTTTCCAGCTTCAGCAGAAAGTACAACAGTTCTGTGTCATGTGCTGGAGCCTTAAATAAAACACCATCCAAAACCATGATGTATTTTTTACAGAAAAAGGGTAACAAAGCAACAGGCCCTCAAAGGAAAAAGTAAATGCCCATTGCTCCCTAAAACCAAGCACTGGTATACCTAATTAAGGACACAGAATAGAGAATCACTTTATGGAAAGAACATTTATTTTTGTTTCAAAATTTGTGATCCATAGAAATACAATATAATCAACATGTACACAAAACTTTAAAAAAACACTTTGGTTCAAAGAAATATTTAACATCTAAATCTTCTGAGGTACAGAAGGCACAAGACCAGGCACCCAAACATACTGAATCGCCCACAGCACTGTTCGCACCACTACTACAGAGAAAGCTGGGAGGGCAGAAGGGAGGGCAGAGGATGGCAGGGGGAACATGGAAATAACAGCAACCAAAACACAAGTATGTGTACAATGCCATTTACTTTCTTTCATAGGTGTTACATATTTTGTTGTCCTTTTTGGGTAAAGTGCCAGGACTCTTGGGAGAAAAAGATGGATCATTTCTTAGAAATGAACTGGAAGAACGAACAGTAGAAAAGGAGACAGAGAAACAAAGGCCTGCAGCAGGTTGGGTTTCAGTCAACCTCTGTTCTCCCACAGGGTCTTAAGAATTCATTTCCTCTTTCGTGAAACCATTTGTTTGAAACTGTGGAACAAGGATGTGAAATTAGTTACCACCATGTACCCAATGCGTGTATCACTGCAAGCCAGACAGTTACTTCAAGTAAAATCTCATCTCTCAGTCTGAGGATCCCTGCTTATACTTCTCTACTCATCCAATGGGAAACACATAGAAAGAAGCAAAGGGCTGGGGAAGAAAGGATCTTTCCAATTGCACAATTCTGAGGCCAACGTAAAAGAGCAGTGTATTATGGGTCTGGTATCATTTATAGATCACTAAGATCTGGCACTCCAGGGGAATACCTTGGAGGCTGAGGGACATAGGTATGGGGATGGATGACACAGATCTCGAAGTTTTCAGCAGCTAGCAGAAACTCCCAGTGTCCAGACATTCACATTTAACTTACAAGGAGCTCTCCTCCTTTTGCAGTTAAAACTACGTACAAATCTTTGTAGGAACAGACCTGATTCTAGTCAAGTGATAATTCAAGTCATCCTGATGCTGATACACCACACAAACCCAGTGATGTTCTTACACGCTCTGTGCTGTCATTGACACAAACCAAACTCACTAGAAAAGCTACAGCTGAACAATGTAGCTGCTTAATACTACAGGATATTGATGGTGGGAATTTTCATCATGGCCAAATGACTCCAGTAGTTAAAATGGCAACACCCAGGTTATTAAATGCTGTTATAAGGGTTCGTATATCACCAGCTTTGCATACACATGAGCCTTCCTTCAGGTTTTGTTCCTAAAGGAATATTACTTACCCCATTTACACCCTACTAGTACTGGACAAGCTGCATGCCTTGTTCTATAATCACCCTCACCACTTCTGAAAAGATTGTACCAAAACACTGCTGTTCCCTGGAAAGTAAAATTGGATCTGGATTAGTCAGAACCTAGTCAATATAATTATGCAGGTTACAGTAAGGGGGGGCAGGGGGGGGGAATGCCTATGAATTCAGCTGCAGGCTCTTATGAAGCACTTTAACAAAGGCCACCACTGACAGCACATGAAAAAACCCCCCTTAGTCCCACTATTAATTCAGCCATGTTTCAAGATTAGAGAGGAGTTCAACCTGAACACAAGTTGGTTTTGTTAATACCAGCTCTACACAAACTGCTCACTTCATACATTGTAAAACAAAGGAAGCAGCCCTGCAGACTACAAACTCAGCTACAGCTGCCTTGATACACAGCAGCCTGTCAATCAAGTTGCAATGAACAGCACTTGGTCACATTAACTGACTTGTAAATGGATGTAGGACTGTACTGAGGAAGAGACAGTAACAGGAGAGAGAAGAAATCAAGCAACACACAAACACTTTACCTTCTTGGGCCATATTGCTGCTCCAAAGTCTGGGAAAACTGTAGCTCCTCCAGCTTCTACATCACTCATCTGAGAAAACAAAGTTCGCAAACTGTCCATTTACAACGCTTTTTGTACATGCAGTCCCACAAGCTAAAGTGCCCCAAGCCCTAACAGATAGATTTCTACTTGCACCTGAGGGGCACTGATGAGGAAAGGATGCACTTCAACCAGCACAAACTGCAAAAGTAACAGTACCTGCTATTGAAGGCTTTTATTTCAGCTGAAGCCTTTTGTTCAGCACTTTGTCTAGATTATACATAATCTATTGCACGAACAATTAGCCATAAGAAGTTGTGTACCTACAGTGTTAATAAGCTAGTACTCTACAACAAGGGAGAGGACTTCAGAGTAAATAAGTTTGAAGAATTTCATTCCAGTTTATGATCCAATTAAGGAAAACAAGTAAGTGTCTGTTAAACCACATGTTTCCTCATAAATTGAAACCACATTTTTAGAACTGATTTTCATTATTTAGTTTATGCATCTTGGTCAACCACTTCAAAAACTATACAAACTATTAGAAAACCTCACTTTCTGCACTGTTTCTATGCTGTTCACCAGTGATATTACACCACTTCAAGCACCTTATGCATCTCAAGCTTAAATACACACAGTTATGTGACTAAAGAAAAGCATTTATCTTTAGGCTTTGCCCTTCTACACTGGAATGAATTTAACCCTATTGAATTCATCAGCAATGATGGATTCACTATAAATTCTAGACTTGATTCAAAACCCACCAAAGTTTGTGGAAACACTCCCATTAAAACTAGAAAGTCTTTCCACTGATTTCAGTAAGTTTTTGATCAGATTCTAACTAAAAGAAACAAATGAGTCAGATCCAGCTCCCACCAAATTTAAGCAGCAGAATCACTATTAATACACTCCCCAGGTCCCCACATTCTCTATTGTAACTTGGATTTCTGTTTAAAGCAGATGTTATTACCACTCTGGTGTCCTCCTGCTTGGTACCTACAATAAAAGGGCATAAGATGCCATAGGTACACAGGTTTTTGCCCCTTCCAACTAGAAAGCATGTGCATGCAACTTTGCAAGTTAATACCTATGTCTTAGCAGTACAACCACTCTTTTTAGTAAGGGTGTTGGTACACATATGATATGTTCTACACAGGACAGACAAAGGTAAGTTGCCTTTGACCATGTACAACTGGCAGAGAATAAGATGCATATCATTCACTCTAAATCAAGGCTTGTCCAAAAGTCAGAGAAGCAAACAAAATACAGATTGAGACAATTTAAAATTAAAGCCTCTTAGCAACAGACTATTTCGCAGCTACCTATCTTATTCTGATTCTTGTTTGGGAGATTTCCTCCCCCTGCCATATCAAGTGGAAAGTATTTCTGGTTCTGTTTTGAGCTGCATTTCACACTCAAAATACCAGCTCAGCCATAAATATTTCATCACAGAATTTTAAAACTGAAGTTGTATCACTCAAAAGTTAGACATAGAAGATTAGGTGATCCTAACTACTGATATAGTAAGTATAGGTTGATAGATAAAATGTTGTCAGAAGACTACTGTGAAAAATTTAGGCCACTAGTATTGGTGGCAGTTATATTCATGATTCCAGTGTACATGGTCTGTAGGCTGTGTAATGCATGCAACTAATGAATCTTTTCAATTCTGCATTTGTAACCCAGTTGCACCAAGTTTATTAGCTATGTCTCCTCCATTTGCTGAAGCAACAGCTGTGCCAGAGGAACTCTAGCTTTGACAAACAGCTAAAATGGAGGCTGACAGACCACAACATCAAGTGCTGTCAAACAGTGGTGGAAGAACATGACTGTCTCACAGTAAATAGCCAATAATCAAGTTCTCAAACAGCATACCACATGAGTGCCCCAAGCACTCACTCGCCTTTGAGAAATAAGCCAAATTCTCCTCTCCCACCAACAAGGAATCCAATGAAGTCAAAAGATAGAGTGGCCAAAAGGGGAAGCTGGGCCCTATATTCAAATTTTCTTCTCTGACATTAAATACCACCAGAATTCTATAAACTCAGATGGGACAGCACCTGATGCTGCAAGAATAATGCAATCCCTACTTTGAGATGCCAGGGAATCTCTACAAATAACCAACTGCACAAGCTGTAAACAAGATGCTGCTAAAGTTACACTCAATGCATAAAGGATCATCATACTTACATAGTTTAAAAAAGTGGCCACACGATTTCCAGTCCCTAACCGCTTGAAAGCATCTGGCTCATCTTTCTATAAAATTAAATGAGAATAACTGCAAACTTCAAGCTCACAGACAGCAGACAAACAGAGGTACTTACATAGTTAAGAAACGTCGCTAGCCTATTTCCTTCCGATTTGAGTGTGCTGTCAAAGGGTCGCTGTAACAGACAACAACTTTAACCCAAGTTCCAAACAGGCTCACACTAGAGTTACATACGTGTAGCTCTGCAGAGAGATCCTTAAGCCCAATTTAAAGATTTGGAATAGAAAGGGGATGATCGATACAGGGCAACTTTAAAGCCATTACAAACTGCAGCCAGGGTGCATAACTGCATGCACATAGCACTCAGATGCTAAAAGGAGAAATAGCACTGAAGCAGTTCTTAGGGCAGAGTAGAAGCAATGTTTTCAGGGCCTGTGGCACAGATGTTATCCAAGTAAAGTTAACAGGCCATTGTTGTACTGGACACCGATCCAAAGTCAACAGCTGAGGTGAATATGAAAAACTCATCTTCAGCGGGCTTTAGATAACACACTAGATTCTCATAAATGTAGTAGTGACTCAAAGAAACACAGTCACAAGAAGAGAAAATGCATTTTTTGCCAGCAGGTAAAATTGAAGAATAGCAATTATCAACTTCTTTCAGGTGGTTGCCTGTCTAGGACTAAGGACCACATCAAAAAGATCGAATTATCTTTACTCTGTAGGAAACATTTTGGGTTTTGTTTGTTGAAGTACGAGAGCACATTGGTGCCAGTTTAGAAACGGAAAGAACATCTAGAATACCAACATGTCTCTCCTCCCTTCAAAAAAATGCAATTAAAAGTTTATTTACATTGCTAATAGTCAGGAAATCATTTCAGCCAGGAGACATTAAGGTGCACTCTTCTTACAAAACCAGTAATCTTTAACATTTAAAGAAAATAAGAAATGGGTATTAGAAAAGACAAACAGCAAGGAAAACCACAGCCACCATCTCTAAGACATTATAGCTAAATCTACTTGAAGTATATTTCAAGGAATAAAAAGTCTTTCCTGAAATGGGGTCATAAAAAACCCCAAGAGACTCTTGCATCTGCATATGCAAATTCAGTCCAAAAGAGCCAACATAAGAGCATGAGATATAGCGGATTCCCTGGTTTCTGTCACTGCTGCCAAATCCAGGTCCAGCCATACATTTCTGAACTTCAATATCAAAAGATTTCTCAAACTTTTGAGCAACCAATAAAATCTCAGAACTGTAATATGCAGCTATTAATGTGTCCCTATTTGAGAACTGCAAGGGAACAAAAAGCTGCAAGGCTGATCAGAAGATGGGGAGACACAGCAGTATCTCTGTATTTCAATACTGGAATTTGTGATGCACAGAGAGCCTGGAGGACCAGTCCAAAACTATGGCAAATTCTGCAATTGCCTTGCCTTAGCTGATGACTGCAGCCAAGGTTACATTCCAAGTGGAGCTCTGCCCCGGCTGCCTAATCCAAAAGTAAAGTCCACACTGGCCAGTTTGATGGCTGAGGTCCTTGAGTTCAAAGGCTTTGAAGAGAATTTAAGAGCATTTGCTTGACTCAGGAAACAAAACAGTCTTAAAGTTAACAGGAAAATTATCTCAACAGGCCAAAGCTAACGAATATGAGCTTCCACAGTGCTGAAGTTGAGGATTTTTTTGTTTGTTTTTACTTTTTTTAAACAGTGCTAAGTTGGGTGGCTTCAATTCTGCACTCAATTATTGGGTTGCACTCTGGCTGCAGCAATCCCTTCTACCAGGTAAAACCACGAGGACAGCCTAAATTAAGCCAGATCCCATTGAAATGCCACGATTCTACTGAAAACCAAGGCATCAGGTGGATTTTATATTTGAAATTACCAGTCACCATAGCTCTTCAGTATGATTAGCATGTTCATAAACTTTTAGGGTAACAATTAAGAATCTGCCTTTTCTCCCCACTTGCAGCAAACCAGAACTGTTACCTGCCAGGTAGAGCCCTCTAGTGCCTAGTGTGGATCTGGCACCCACCAGTTGCGAGTTCCTCTGCTCACTGTGAAACTGCCCCCCTGAACACCAACCCAACAAACCCTCTTCGGACCCTGTAACTGCAGCCACACTAAGGGTTTTCCCAGAAGGGCTGTATGCCCCATGAAGATTTCCATAATGGCTACTTTTTTGGAAGGAGGTGGAATCATGTCTCCTTCTCAGCCAGCTCCTGCAAAGTGTTTTAAAGTATCCACCAAGGGAGGACTCATACAACCTTGCTGAACCTAATGGAACAATGCAGACTCACTACCCAGGGCTTGCAGACCTCAGTTTCCAAATGAAGTAATGGAAAGAGCATGATTGAGTGCTGCATGACTATCTTTTAGTGTGTCTACACTGTGCAAGGAACCAAGGTGACAAAGATAAGCAGACAGATTTGTTCATTGTTCTCTTGAATGAGCTTTCAGCATCAGAGAAGGCAGTGCGAAGGCTTTTCAAAAGTCATAATCCATACATGCAACAGGGCTATACATTAAGTGTTTTAACAGAAAATAGTTTCAACAGTTTTTTCTCAAACTGTTTGCCCCTCCCCACGCCATTAAGAAATAACTGAAAGTGTGATCTTACCCTAGAAAAATCAAAGTGTGGCTCATACTGCCCTCCCATTCCATAGTTGGCAACCTACAGCATGGAAGAAGGAAGCACAAAAATGCATTGAACTGCAAGTGACTGCTGCAGAAGATAGCATTTGCTCTCAGAAATCTAAAACATGCTTTGAGAAAGAACACTTTGTAGCAAGATCGTTATCTATAGCACACTTAAATTCTCTTTAGAGTGCCAGAAATGAGGTACACAGATGAGAAACAACTTAAGTGCTCTTTCCCCTTCATAGTTTAAGGGTTTCGCTGAGAATATTTCTCAGTACCAAATGTTTCTCAATGGCAGCACTCTACTTATCACTACAACAGCCTGTTTAACACAAATTAGCAGCAATAGTTTTACCACATTCTTGGAGGAAGCCAAGTGCATGTAGTTCTCTAGTATGTGTTTCCAAGCTAGGAGATAGAATTAGATTCTGTATCACACATGTATGATCCGTTACACACACATGCGCATCCAGGAACACAGAAGGCTCAAAGTAGCTTAAAAACACCACTTTGCTTACTTTATCTGAGTATCACAGAACATGTGATTTAGTTACTCTGAGGCTGCACTTAACATGTCTCCCAGACCACTACACAATTACCTGGTTTCTGTGGAAAGCCAGTAATCAACAGTACTTCAACCAGGCTCTAAAACAGGAATTCAAGGAGCATGGAGGAAGAGAAGCAGTAAACAGGCTAAGGTGCAGCCACTCTGGCAGTGCTGTACCACTTCTACTCTCCCTGCTCTCCCCAACAGCCAGCCAAAGATCAGAATTCATATGAGAACGTACCAGGACTATGAAAAATATTTGGATCTTTGAAAGGTTCAACTAGGAAGGAGGTTCAACTTTTGCAGACTTGAAAATAAGTGGCAGGCATTTCCCTCAAAACAAACTGGTAAGTCACAGATTCCTGCACAAAGTTATCTTCTATTTCTTCGATATCTCCACCCTTCTCTGCCTGGCACACAAAGGGAAAACATCTACCTGCCAGGTCCTTACAGCTAGCAGCAGCTGGGAACACCACCCCACTCTTCATAAACACCTTACCTACTCCGTGTGTGTAGCCAGCAGACAACAGAATCCCTAAGAGGGGCTGGTTAAGAGCCAACCTATATTTGTATCTGAATAAGCACCAAACCACCCTGACAAGCAGCTAATTCTACCAGGATGAAGTCTGACAAGACAAGTGTGCCAACCTGCAATAGTTCAGCTGTTTTCACTGTTAACCCTGTGATCTGCTGCATTCGTTGATTCACCTTGGCCACAACAGGATCATCATCTTCCTCCAACCACGAGCTAGAATAAAGGAAGGATTAGAACATGTTATTTTGGAATACCAACCGCAACAACCCATTTCCCAAGGCAGAAGGATTCTTCTGCCCCCAGTCGGATGGCTGAAAGAGCCATTTAATGTGCATTTACTTATTTATTGTAGGCAAGCTTTTGCTACATGCAAAGCAGTTCAAGTTTTCAACTATAGGTAACAGATGACAGCTGTTAAGCACAAAAATCTTAAAGCTAAACTCTTCTCTATGCTTACCTTTTTGATACCCTGTAGCTAGCCACTGTAAGGACACCGGTTTTGGGATCACGTACTGTGGCTCGTGCCAGCTGTGTCAAAAAAATCCCAAGGGGGAAGAAACACATCAACTACAGGTTAGAAAAAAATCTTCTCTCATCTTAACCAAAATCAACACCTGATTTGTCCAACTTCAATATATCATTGGATGAAAGTTATAGCTCCAGCCTAGAGTTTGTTCCAATTTCATGCTAGAACAGTACATGCAGAAACACAAGTGCAATCCATCACCTGCATTTGATCCTGGAGAAAGAAATTGACTGACTGCACAAGCCATGATATTCATTAAATCCATGAGTACTGTTTGCTGAACAGGTTTTGAAGGTACTTTTTTTTCCAACAGCTGGAGTCAATATTAACAAGAGGGAACAACAATAAAAGTTAACAACATATGAAGCCCATGCTCTTGGCCAAGAGAAAAATCATTGGATACTCCATAAATTTAATCAGCCTGCTCCTCATGTGGACTGAAAAAACCCAACCTCATTCTCAGATGAAAAATAACAAGTGAAAACTTTTACAGAATGAGTTACAAATTATGGGGCAGGCAAACCCACAGAGGTAAAAAAACTCCTGAGGGCAACTCTCAACATTACCGTGCTCAGATTTTCCAGTTGGAAGATGCCTGGAACATCTAATTCACAGAGACAGTTTGAGATATGTTATTGCATTATAAAGGTAGCTCTGCAAAAGCACAGTACACCTATACATTTTAAACAGCAAGTAATGCATCATCACCATTAGGCCACATCACCGTATTTGTAGGAAAAATTTGGAACTTGGCAAAACTGATTAGGTTTGCTGTGGTGTCAGAGTGATAGACTACTGTTAGCATAACGCAACAGGTCACTTTGGTTTTATACTTGCAGCTGAGAACAAGAACTGGGACACTTCTTTCTTTGACTGTAAACTCAGGCCACATTTAAATTTAACTCCTGCAAACCACAAACACTTTAAATCATGTCTCCTTCCTTCCACTTAATTATAGGTCACAGAAAGCCTTTTTATTTGCATTTTCTTCAGAGCATGCAGTCATTATTTCCTTTATTTTTCCTCAAATAAGTCTCCAGCCAGCTTTACAATCCATGTCAGCTGTCTTGTCCCTATACAAGACTTCTTGGCACAGCTATTCCTGTAATTCTGACTCACTGTTATTTTGTTCCAGATGTCTCCTGCATAAATCATAACAGAAGAGCCAGGCTGACTGACTGTTGTTCTTCACTTGTACAACGAAGCATACCTTTTGGGATATAATTTAGCTCCCCAAACTTTTCATTCTGCTGCCATTTTCAAGCTTGAATATGCTTGCTTGTTTCTGCACCTAGCATTTGATCAGATAAATCGGAACTAAAATAAGCCTGACTACATTCATATTATTCCATATCTCCTCTTCTCTTTCTGATAGGTAGGCTTCTTCATTTAAGACATACAATCTATACCTTACTTGGTATAACTGATAAATGTGAGGCTTCCTGTCTCAGGGTGGAGAAAGCAGACTTATAACAAGCATTTGCTGGGCTTTGAAGAATCATAACACATAGGATTGGTCAGAAGCTTCATCCAGTCTTCCTCTTACGAGTCTGCGTTTAGTTTAACATGTACTCCATTGGCTTTTCCTTCTGAAATGCTCCACTGCTGAAATCCTATAGCACTGAGTTCAAAGATATTGATGTGTCGCCCTCCATGCCGTATTTTTGCCTGTTCAGGCACAGCTCTATTGCCTGTAACATCCAGAATTTAGGGAATAAAGTTTTCATACTTTCATGGCAGACCTGTCCCAATGCTATCCACACCTATGAAGTTAATTTTCTTGACCCTTCCCAGTCAGCTCTGATGTATTGCCTGAAATGAAACTACTTTTTGGAATTGGAGTAAAAGTGATTGCATTTTGCAAAACAAGCCTGAAAACCAACTTGAATACAGCTACTCTCAATCACGTCCAGATGTTGTTTCTCTACAAACAAAAAAGTACTGGCAAGTGTAAACTGCAGATAATGCTAAAGTGCTTAGACCCAAAAGTAGAAATTTCTTGCAAATGCATTTTAGAACAAAGAAAGTGCTCATCTTTCTGAGCCCAAAACTAACACACTACTTCAGAGTTCTGTCTGAAAGCTTCCATGATTACTAACTAAAATTTCCTGGCTGAAATTAAGCTATATTTATTAAGGACCATCTCATCACAGGACTTGCATTTTCCACTCTTTCAGTAGTACTGCAGAATTAAAGCTATTCCTGCAGCTGAGCTATAGACAGATTTAGAAAAAACAAGCTATAAGAAAATGGTTGCTTTTTTTTAATTGAAAACTTTCATCTGAACCTTGAGACTACAATATCTACCTACTTTTACAGGGACTAATCCCAGTTCTACACTACATAAATTATATGAAGAATTCCTGACATTAGTAATACAAGCAAAACTCAGTGAACAAAACTTGAGACTTTCCGTAAAACTTGGAACAAAAAGGGAAAACCAAACAAAAAATTAATAGCTGCCTTATTTAGAATGTGCATAATTTGATAAAACGGATTAAGTGATATGCTGTATTTGAATGTTTCCATTTTATCTGAAGCTTTTGATGTTTTATAGTATGATGTAATAGGAAAAAGTCTCCATTTATGGAGGTGAGAGTCCTCACTGAGACAGGAGTGTTCTGCCAACACTCCCACAGCTGGCTCGTAGTCATAGAAGTTGAGCTTCACAAACATCCCAAATTATTTAAGTTCTTAGGAAGCATCAGTTTCTCAATCTGTTTCTAACTATGTTTACATTTAGAAATACATACAGAAGGGTAATTCTTGACTGGAATTGTAGTACCATATTTCATAGCAGTAGCTAGGAGAGTGCTAAAATTAACCATTCATCTATAAAAATAGAAGTGTTTAGTTTTACATGCTTGTCACACCTGACAGAAAACTAAGGTGTAGCATCTACTACTGACATCACACTGACATACTTTTTTTTTGCCAGAAAGGAAACAGACAGGAAATTCTACCTCCAGAAAAATCAGATGAGATAATTACTAGCTTTGCATTAGGTAGCTGCTTTTTTATTGTGTGCAGAGTCACTAGAACTCACACCATGGGTAACAGGTATTGCATCAAAACTAGGGTTCCCACTCAAAGCTACGGCCTTTGAGTTGGATCTACATTTAGCATACTGAAGCTGTCACATCTGTTTTTCTGCTGCCCAAGACAGCTATTGAGGTGGAAAAGTCAGATCTGAAGTGCTCTGAGAAAATGACTGCATTGTGCATTCATCCTTACAAGTACTCTGTCTTTCCCAAGTCCCAGACTGGGAATTACTTAAGAGCACAAACGATTCCTCCACTCTGTGTTAACTGTATCACATCATTCCCAACGAGCTGTGTGTGGCTTCAGGAGAACACCACAGTTCCACTCATGGATACACCATGGCATCTAAAGTGCCTGCCTCTGTGCAAGTCTAGACTATGGTTTAAAACAGCAGCAGTGGATTCCAGGTTACCTGAAGCAAAAAACCCAAACCTGTAGATGTGCTTCTAGCACAGCTTAAAAAAAAATACCCCATTGTTTCTTCCCACTTCTGTTCAGATTTGGGCTTTTTTAGTTTCGCTTTGTAGTTTGGCTCCATTTCAAAAGGCAGACTTAAGGTATATTGGACACCCAGTCCTATCACTCTAAGCCAGTCAGTCATCTACCTTTTCAGGTCTAGTCCCTAGTTTCCTAAAAGGTTTCTAAGCCATTTACTGAGAACTTTGCATAATTAAGTGCAACAATGCATAAATACCTTCAGGAGCCTGGGCTTTATGGTCCTACATCACCAGGCAGTTTCGAAATCGTTCCCCTTAGGCTCACAGCTGCAGTGTATCATCTGTAGTATGAAACCAAATCTTTCAAATCCTTTGCCTAGTCTTTGCCAATAGAGATTAAAGTGTGGAATTAGCAGTCATTAGTGAGATGGAAGAGGGGAAACTTACCCTTGGCTTAGCTAGTTGTTTAATTTTCTCAATTTCTTCATCAGACATGACATCATAATATCGTACAATATGAGGGCTATCCCATTCATCTTCTTCCTTAAAGGGAGCTATGAGCAGGTGAGGGTTTCTGTTTCCATCATGGTACCTACAAAACAGCCTTTTCTGTCTTCGAGGTGTCTGAAACAAAACACCAAACAAAACATTGTTTGTGAAACCACTTTTCATGAACTTAAAACAGGCAAGACAAAACAAAACGGGGTTCATTCCACAAACACTGGAAAAGCCATCAGACTAGCAAATTTAAGAGGTAAGCATGAGTGATTCTGTAGTTTGCTGCAAATAAAAAAGCCAAGATGCCACTCAAGATATCACTGAGTAACATCTGAAACACTAACCTTTAGGAGAGTTAAACCATAATATGTTACAGATTAAGCAAATAACTACACAAACAGCCAGCTGTAAAAAAAAAAGTCTGGTTCTTATCATTAAGACTATGCAGATGGAATAAACAGACTCCTTTCCCTCCACTGAGAGTTAAAGCCATGTTTGTTGAGAGGTACTGGAGACTGGTTGGTCAAAATAGTCACCCCAGAAGGACATGTCATTAAGATGCAAAAGGGAAGGAATAACGTGACTCTAAGTGTGGCAAAGCATAACCAGCTCAGTGGAAAAAGCCTCCTAGTATATCAGTACAGCTGGCATTTCAAATGGCTGAGTAGACAGACTGCAGAGAATCAATTTTCAACAACCTTTAAGAGGTACAGTTGAGAGCTGTTTTTCTGTCTAGGATTAACATCTAAAGATAGAGAGGCCAAGACATAAGGTAAAAATCTCAGCCTGGACAGAACTACATTTAATTTTTTCTTAAAAAAAAGTTTCACAGAAGGGAAAAATTAACACCTCCCAGCAACCTTGATCACCCTTATGCAAAGGCAGCGTAGTCAGGAAATTCTTGCCTTTCCCTTACCATTTTTACCCCTTCACCTCTGCAAAGGGCCTCATAGATGTCACGCTCCGGCAAGTAGTCGAGAGGCCTCTCATAAGCGCCACCTTGCACCACTGGTTCTGTCGTTGTCATGGTCTTGTTTATCGATTTCTCTTTCTCCTCCTCCTCTCTCTCCTTCTCTAGCAACTTCTCAAAGTACCGCAGATTACTGCCTGCTCTCTCATGAGTACTGTCTTCATTGAGAGAAAAAACAAGACAGAACCAATGATTTATGCAATCTCAGGAATTGTTAATACAAACAAGTCTTTGTATCAAGACACAGCAATAATTGTCCCCTTCATAAAACATTATCAGGCAACCAAAGACATTGTCTCCAGTCTGCACTGAAAACCAGCACTGGGAACTTCATCTCCGCAGAGGGATGGTAGGCATAGTCAGTGAAAGACTTATTTCTGGAAGAACCTATCACAAAACTTGTATTTCAGGAAAAAAGAGTAGGAGTTTTTGGTCTTCACGTTCTTCCTTTTCTCTCAACTTTTCTGCCCAGTTCTACCCAAGATAAGCAGATCAGAGCTCATCAGCAGAGATCAAGCTAGTCTAGCTGTTGCACCCCTCCTCTCCACCATGCTCCTCATCTGCACTGCACAAGCATGCTTTAACCAAGGACTGCGGTGGAGTCCCAGCCACAGACTTCAGTCCCAAAGGCTTCCTCCAAAGTTGGGAAGCTCAGAGGTATGCATTACCACTTAACAGCTACAGCATGCATCTCTAGATATTTGTAACAGGTTTATATGGGAGGTATCCTGGATCACTACCTTCATTGGACCTATCATTAGTGATTTATTAATGATGTTGGTATGAATCAATAAACATCATCAATAGATCTTTACCCAGCATAACTAAGGAACAATTCCCTGTTCACCACGAAGTGTCTCTAGACACGAGCACCTAGAACAGTTTCTTTCCCTTCTGACCCTCCCAAGCTTATATTTCTCTTAGTTAACTAACCCAGAAGGCCACAGAAGTAATCACTCCTTAGAGCATAGGCTAAAAGTGGCCAGATAAGGAAGCTGAGCCCAGAGCAGAGGAAGTTGCTGCTCCCAGAAGGGATTGCCAAGTCTGTCCCACTGTTTAGTGCTGATAAGGATTTGCATTCTGCTATCAGTGCTAAACCATACTATTGCGAAGGGAGCTAGATTCAGTACATATTCATATTCTTGTAAATTTTAATCTATTCATTCCAGTGTCTGCAGAAATTAGACTGATAGATATTTTTCAATAGCAAGGCTTCACCCACTCTCAGGATGCCGCTAACATCTAAACTAAGAACCACAGCTGATTAAAAAACCATACAAATACATAATGCAGTAGGTGTTAATTCTAATTGGAGAGGATAAACCTTTCCAGTGCAGGAAGTAGGCAAAGTTGGATAAGAAGCAATGCTTATTTGCTTACTCAAGAGAAAGCTAGAAACAGACCAGAGTTAAAAGGAGGCTTTGAGAAACTCAATCTGTTCTGAATATTCAGAAATAAATACTTCAAGATCTCAGGCAAAGTATTCTTCTAGCATCAAAAAGTACCTGCACTGAGGAATAAAGAGGAATATGTGAAGTCAGTAGGACTTTACAGATCTGCCTAAGTCCGTGATAGCCTTGATGTCCACTTGAGACAACCCAGGCTTTAACCATTACCAAACACAACATCTCAGTACACTGAAGCAAAGCACACAGGTACTGCAGTCACACATACATATGGTCATTGGATAATAACAGCATGGACTATAAGACATCTCGTTAAAGATACTTCATATACAAGTAGACTTTTTTTTTTCCAGGACCCATGTTTATTACAAGTCATCTGGCAGGATATCTTTCCAGTTAGCTCACCAATATGTATGGGCCATGACTGTTCTTGGCTCTGTTGCTGGCAACACTCCCCAGCGCTAGAATAGCAGGGTTTTTGTTCTTACCAAGGGATATCAGACGTCTAGTAAGTTCCATTGCTCTGTGTAAATCCCCAAACTGGAAAACAGCATAGCTGAGATAATCTAGGATCTCCACTTTGCTGACTGTTGTATCCTCGCCCTCATCGTGTTGTTTTAAAGCTTGTTCCATCCACAGTACTGTGTGATAGTAGTCTCCATCATTGTAAGCAGTCTTCCCCATACCAAAGCAGTCACCTACTGTCAAAGATGATCTATATTTTGTTCCTAAAACCAAAAAGATAGCTTTAAGTAATCCACACAGAAGCATCTTTGCCTTCAAGCACATGGGGCACATTGAGGAGTATCTATAAATACACACTTCTATCATCCACAAAGGCTTCTGAAGACAACGCTTAGACAATATTTTAGGTTCTGTACCAAACTGATCATCTTCAGAATTAAAGATTACATTATATCATAATTCTGTGGCATTAATTCCTTCAGAAACCAAGAGAAGTTTAACATAGAAATTAGCCTTAAGCTATTGTGTTTTCTGTTGTAGACAAAAGCAGAGCAGACTGACAGCTTAACAGATTTTACACAACCTACAAGTTAACACTGTTAGATGATCAGAGAAACTGACTATATGCAGAGCTAGCTTGTTTGCTGTTTACTGGAGATGTATATTAACCATCAGCCTGCTTATGCACAATTTAGACAAACTGGGTATCCATTTGACTGTAACTGTGCTCTAATTTCCAGTTGCTCCAGCCCAGCAGATGCACAGATAAGAGTTAATTTTAAGTTCATTGTTAGTAACCTACATATAATAACTAAACTGTTTTGTCAGCTCATCTACCCACACTCTATGAAGCCTATTCAGTTTGTAAACAGCGTGCTGCTAGCAACCATAACCTGTTTCAGGAAGTCTCTCATAAGCAGCAGCAGCAAACATTTATCAGGACTCAGCTGCCAAAACACTGAAACATCCCAATATATCTACATACCTTCCAAAACATCTGTGGCAAAAGCTGTTAGTCCTCATTTCACAGAAGGAACACAAGCAAAGTGATTCAACCAAAGCCTTACTGGAAGACCATAGCAAACAAGAACAGAGCCAAGCTTTGTAAGAGCCATCAGAGCAAAGAATTACAGAGCAGCTCCTTCCCTTGGATCGTAAGTTATAGGGGACAGGAAGTACCCACAGTATTTGCTTACACAGTAACCAGCACGAGAAAGTATGTCATCCTTTGTTGCTTTGGGTATAGCAATTATAAAAAAATCCAAAACAAAACCCAGTATTTTCTTTTAAAATAATACCAATTAAAAAAAGCTACTTGAGCTGGTCACTGCAGACCACGGCACCTTGGCTTGGGTAGGAACAACCTCAAGGTTGTTCTCAAAGTGCCAAAGTAGATATGTCCTCAAACATCTAAGCCACATGGACTCTCAGCACAGTGGTCCTTCCTTATTACCGAAAAAGGACTTTTGGAGAGAGTTTGAGGATGTTACTACTTCCTTTTAAAGCAGATAAGACCTTTGTGCACTTACCTGGTAAGTTTCCTCGAGAGAGAGTTTCAGGATCCAGTTTGTATGTGTCCTGCAGGCGCATCAGAGCCTTCGCAGCTCCAGTCTCATCTTCTTCAGTTGGAAAAAACTGACGCTGAATTGTAAGATTTGCAATAAAGCCTTTGCAGTAAAAGGGAAAGATGTTACTTCCAGAGTTTTAATAAATATCAGTACCAGATTAACACAGAAGATGAAACATCTGCTTTGTTTTGGGAATTGAGATTCAAATAATCCAGATTTAAAGCCTCTTACTAGGCTCTCAAATTATAAAAACATTTTTTTCTATCGCATTTTAAAAAATACAGCTCACAAGCAAAAGATAAAGGATAAATAACTAAGCCTCTCAGTCTTGTGCCACACAATTACTGAAGTACAACGTGAATCTAATGACCTTCATTTTCCTGTAATTTCTCTTTCTAGCATGAAAACTTAATAGCTTTCATCAGTTCTCTTGCGATATCCACAGAGACAACTGCAGATCATAGTACTGGACAACTATTTCAGACTCTTTACTCCAACCTGTAAAGCCATAAGAGCTTTTCAAATCTCAGCTCAAGGGACAGAGACCCTGATCCAGGATCCCCTCAGTAGGGGTAGGACCTGACTCAGGAAGAGGCTTTTAAACCTGACAAGTAAACCAGGTGACATTTAGAAGTAAAATTAAATGCACTACATAAACATATCAAGGTTACACAGCAGGCTGGTTGGGCAGAAGTGGGGGCAATCAAATAAAGGAAGACAACCCAGCCTTTTCCAGTCATGCAGCAAGCAGAACTGGAAAAGGAAGCCTTTAGAAAAAGAATTAATGACAGAAGTACTCAATAGAATTGAGTATTTTATTTCCATCTAGGATGACTGTTCCAAAAGGCAATAAAAAAATCTTGGCTGGAAAAAGCTTCCAAGTACCTAAACTTTAGCATATGCAGAGTAGAAAGGGAAAACATGCAGCGTTCTGCCCGAAAAACATAGCCTCTTCTCCCTTACTTTCAAGGAGGCCAGTAAAAATAAACCCATATTTAAAAGAAAAGCTATGAAAGCAAATTCAGGCAGATACTTTGACAATATGATGCAAACCCAAAGATTAGTACTGGAAACATTTGATTTAGAAGGATAGGTTTACAAGTAGCAATTGTATGTTATCCTGTTATCAACAGACTGACTATAACATCTGCCAACTGTTAATGCTGGGGCTGATATGAATTCCTTCACCAGTTCAGTATGGGTCTCATTTTGATTCTTAAATCTTATCTACTGATCAACATGGTCAAAAAACAATTATCACCAAGAGAAGCAGCAGACTGGGAAAGCAGATGAGTAAGTTTTTATATAAAGGAACATAAAGCTAAGGACTAGACATAAAACAATAGCTGCCAACACAGGTGACAACTTCAGTATATCCTCTTTGCCCCTTTTCCCCAAGCAGCACAAACCAAACAAAATGTAACGGGCCTAAGACAGATAACAGTTTCTTTGAGCCTTGCCTGAGATGTGTTTCAGTGGCAAGTTTCTTGCACTTGGGTAACCAGTAAATAAGAGGCCAGTCATTAGTTTGTTTCAAACAAACTTAGCAGTAATATTTGAACCACAGCTGAGTTTGCAGCTTTCCAGAATATAAGGAGGATAAGCAACTGTGCTGTAAGGCTACCTCCTGATATCCTCTCCCCTGTAACTCCTTACCATTTGTTGTATCCTGAAGAACTAGGTTTTCCAATTCCAGCCAGTCAGTATTTAAACGCTTCACCAGCTTATATGCATTTACAGGATGTGCCAGATACCCTTCTGGATCAGAGGCTGACTTGCTAGTCAGTACATCCATTTTTTCAGCCCAGCTGGAACGAGAATCATATGCCTCAGTCTGAGAACAATTTATGAATGCATGTCTTCCTTCTTAAGTCATTCTAATTGCACAGCTAGAATCAATTTATTGCTGCTTTTGCCATCATAACCAGCTTTCAAGCTTTCAACTTCACAAGGATAAAGTGAAGTACAACTGATTTTTTTTTTAATTACAGTAGTCTTTCTTTTAAAAGGATTTGTCTCCCTGCTTACTATTTTAAGCTTTACTCCAGTAAGCATGCATCTCACTTTCAATGAGTCTTAGCCATCAATTTTCAGCATACTGCACTTCAGAAAATAATGATATATAGTACACAACCACTGAGAGTGTCATTTATCTATCTCTTAGTAAAAATACAAGCACAAATAAAACTCCAAGAGCTTTTTAGCTTTATGGAAACTAAACCATAAGCTTTGATTTTCAGACTGGAAACCCTCAGACAGTACGGTGGCAGTGCTGTCAGTCACCTAGATAGCACTGTTGGTGAACTTCAAAGCAGTAGCGGGAAACTTCATCCTCTGTGTTCCAGTATAGTTGAACTGCCAACTACATTGCTGATGCTACAGTGAGAATTTCTTCTGTTGAAGCATCTGGCCAAGCTGTGTGTTCCTCTCTCCAGTAATCAATAGGAAGAAAACAATTTGCTGAGAGATGCTAATAACTGAACATAAGAAATTCCCTTTGAGCCTGTAATCTCAAACTCAGTAAGCCATGAATGAACTATGGTTACAAACAACTTTATGTAAACACAGGTAAAAATCGTCAGACTACCTGGCTTCCCTATACTATGATGTTGCAATAGAACAAAAGATGGCTTTTCCAGAGATCCTTTGCAAGGATATCAGATTAACAACATATATTAAAGTCAGTCTCACCTGCACCCTCTTTTTAATTTAGACTTTCACTACTTCTAATATGTGTTTTGCAAGGTAGTAAATACTGTCAAGTTCTAGTCTCTTTACACACATCACAATGTGCTTTTGAATCATAAATATATCTCTGGAACTAATAGAGTGCTGAAAAGTGTTATCATATTCAAATGATAAAATCTAGTACCTCTGTTACAAAGCATATGCCTCAAACATGAGCAGGGCATGAGGGCTCAAATATTGACACAGTGGCAGAATATCTTGCTTACAAATACACCAAAACATGAGTCAACTGAAAATTTAACACATGAAAAAAAACTTATATATGTCAGTCTATGAAAAAAGACTTCTTTTTTTGAAAGACTACCAGTTTATACATAGATTGAACTGACCTTCTCTTTAACAATACTTGAAGAGGAGACTGCTTTTCTTCAAAAGGGCAGCTTTTCAAGAAATGAACATTTGTGTATACAAATAACAAGGAGTTCCTATCATTTCACTACTTCATAGCCCTATCCCCACCCTATATCCCCAAAGGGAGATCAAACTGCCACATATAGCCTGGAGTTCAGAAATTCTTTGGAAAGCATGGCTCTATTTAGAGGAACTCAGCTCTTCTGAACCTGGACCTCATTTAGACTATTCTAGTGTCACGCCCTATTAGATATTACTTTCAGCGAGATGAGTATTAACAGTCTTCCTAAGGGACACAGAAAACATCAGTTGTCAGCAAGAGCCTTTCGAGTGAACTAAGCAATCATGATAATGTCCGAGATGTGCTGTAGCCAGGTCGGCAACTGAAGAGAACAAGGCAGGAAAGCTGTCCCTGAGGGCAAAGCCAACACAGGAAGGAAGGCAGGGATTTGGTGTGCGCTCCACTAAACAACGCAGCTGGCACACTTTGCCATTGTAAGCAGTGCTGATGCCAGGAAACAACAGGTAGCACAGAGCACTGGCACCCAGAGGCATTTAACTCACATGGACAAGACTCCTCTGACATGAGTAGTGTCTTCTCCACAGAAGCATTGTGATGGTACAAGGAACAAGGAAAAGTGGGAAGAGCCTAGCAGACAACAGTTTCTAAACAAGCAAAGTCTAAACAATATCTGAAGCAGGACCCCCTCTCCACAGGTTCATGGGAATAAGTTACAGCCAATTTAGTACCTCTGGTCTCCCTGTGATTACCTATTGAGGAAATACTAACAAGATCTAGCAGCAAGGAGTGGTGACAGAAAGGTGTGGTTTAACTGAACACAGATAAGCCATTTTGTCACTCTTCATTATGCAAACCTCTCCCCCTACCTTTTAATCTGAGAGAGCTTGTTCTCTTCTGCTCGGATATACTCCTTTAAAGATTGTACCAAGTCTTTCTCCGCATAAATCAGGTCTGTCATCTGACCTAAAAACAGAGTATGAGCAAATATTAATCAGACCTAAAAATGTAACAATTTCCAACAGCACAGAAGGCAGACCTCAGATGCTCTAGGGCTATTAAAACCACCACAAAGAACAGACAAATTAAGGGCATGCACTTCAATGCCTGTAAACCACAAAAGCTATTATACATACAGGTCTGGCATTCAAATGCTTCAAGGGGCTTTTAAAATCCCAACTTCAGTGGCTCATGTAGCTTTGCTGCAACCCTTCCACTGCCTCTGAATTACTTTTAGTATTACAATTATATGCAAAACAATCAAAAGAATGGTTTGACATTAATACAACTACTGAGTCAAAAGTAACGAAAGATCCAAACAGTTGCCAAAGCATCTGTTCTACATATGGATACAGATTACGTCACACTAATAAATTATTAGTCTAACCACTGGCACCACTTAAGATTACAGCTTTTCAATATGGGTAACTGTGGAAACACAACCTAACATTAAGTACAGAGGAATTTCAGACTAATGTTTATAGACTGACACACACACTCTCTCCTGATTAGCATTAGTGGAAATTGCTAGCATGTCAATCCTAATTGCTATGACAAACTTTTCAAAGACCAAACACTGAAAGACCGGATGAGATTTATAAATGCAGCCACAGCTTTAGTTTCAGCATTCCGAAGTAATTATTAATGAGGCATGATTAAACAGATGGAAGTCAGCAGGCTGTGCTATTTTCAGTTAGGAAAGGTTCAGAAATAGTAAGTGTAAAGAAAAGGTGATCCTTCACAGTAACTTTATACAAAAAGCTACTTAGGGGAAAAAAGAGAACCAAATAATACACATGTAGTTAAATACTGTGTAGCCAACTCCAGAGCACAGGAGCATGTGCTGGAGTTTGGTAGTGAAACACCACTCTGCCTTGCTCTGGCTGAGCAGTTCCACACCATGGTGCAAAATAAACCATTGAGAGTTTTGAGTTTTACCACTCAGAAACATAGCTCCACTGAGCTCATGGCTCTATTAGAACACAAGAACTAAGTTGTCATAAAAATAAATTTATTTTCAGGACTTATAACAACGTGAATTCTTCAGGATTTACTCAGATCTTACAAAACACACATAAGGTAAGGAGGATATTAAATTTTCCTTCCAACACCTGACTCCAGCTTTTTGAGTAGACAGGAGATTTCAGGTTCTGTGAAAGAAAATATTTCACATATTTATCACTGAAATTCTTTTCATAAATCATAAATTCAGGACTAAGCTTTTCAGCATAAGGTTCAGGCTGTGTTCAAGATGACAACAGGTGCACAATTCTTAATAAAACACAGGCACTGTCTTATTTTACTGACAGGGCCCCCAGAGAATCTTGCATCATGTTGGTCACAGCGTCCTAAGTTACCGAACTGCAAACAAATTGCACTATGCAAGACTTGCAATGCAGAATAGCATCAAGGTTGCAGAAGAGTAGCTTTTCCTAATGTGGACAGTGCTTGATAGAGCCATATGAAGAAAGCCACATGCTTCAACTGTAAACCTTAACAGCTTTGGCCATCACATTAACTACATCACAACATTGTGCGTATGTTCTTTTGCTACCTATGGAGGTGAAGAACTCTGCTTCTGCGTGCCAGATCAAGAAAATACAGGTAAAGAACACCAACTGCAGCCAGGGCTTCATCTTCCAGATAGCTCAAACCTGTAACAAATTAAAAGGAAAAGGAGGAGTAAAAATGATTAACTTCTTTGTAAGAAAAAACCCCAAGGCATTAATCTTCATCTTCAGTCATTTCACCCTCATGAAAATTATTTAGATCTTGAAATACTGAATTCTAATCAGTGAAGCTTGATAAAAAGTCTTCTTCAACCACAGGAGCTGTTAAGTTTCAGATGCTATCTGGTATACTCTTTCAGATTTACATGGAAGAGACTGCGGTCCATGGAAGGCCCACACGACAGATGTGGAAGCAATGTATTTGTCCACTGAGACAGTGAGAACAAGATCTTCTGCAAGGACAGCTCAATGCCTTCCACTTCATGCATAATTATAGCTGGAAAGTAGGAGAGTATACAAAGTTGTATTGTATTCCAATAATAATAAAAGTCTATATTAAATGGTCAGACTTGTAGCATGCTGTGAAACTCAGTTATATAAAAACTGTCTAGAAATACAAATAGTGAGAAAGACAAATAAAGAAATATAGCCTTTTGTACCGTGGAAGTGGCAGCAATGGTTGGAAAAGTTGAAAGTGAAATTTCCAACTCTGCTTATTCAAGATGCATCATCCCAGCATATTGGCCTCTGGGCACGGCCCTTATGACTTCTGTATTTCAAAGGCTGTGCCAGCTTCGAAACCCAGCCCCTTGAGATGGAGGCTGAAAGCAGACTGTTACATTTCTAAGAACACAGCTCACTGAGGGCATGGCAGGGAAAGCCAGTCTGAGCAGACAGGCAGACAAGGTAGCAGACAAGTGAAGTAAGGGATGCAAGGTCTGTACAAAAGAGCCTCCTGGAAGCTGTAATTCTCCTGGTAGCTCTGATGGCCAGGACTGCCTCTTCCAGGGAATTTATGAGGAGCCTGCACTGCACTTGAATCAGCTCACAGCTCACTCCGGAGCTGCCTGTTCACTAAGCAAGAACAGCCACCACAGTCAGCCCTCACGTACGAGTACTGCAGCTCAGCAAACACTGAGCTCTCGTGTAACACCCATGCACACGGTGTCAGAAGGAAGATGACAACTGTTCACCTTAATTCAAGAAGCAATTATTCTTTTTTCCTACCTGTTGTAACTGGGTAAACTGGCAGCTGGAAATGACCACTTGCAACCCACTGTTACTCCAAATACAGTAAACAACATGCAGCTATTTGGGGCAAAATGGAATCACTTAAATCTGATGAGAAAAGGGGATGAAGGGAAGGGAAAATACATGGAATATCCTAAAATTTCAAGCAATGCAGCAAGTGGGAAGGTATTAAAATAAGATAATTCTGGAACAACTCTAGCTCATTATTCCCTTGGGCTCCACATATCTGCCTGCACAACACGAGATAGAAGGTGAAAGGTGGATATTGCCCTTTCCTTCTGGGATTTTCAAGCCCACAGCATGATAGAAGCCCTCACCCTCAGTTGAGCTCACCGGTGCCATGGACATAAACACCAAACACATCATCAGTGATACTGTCATCACTTCAAGCATTAGAAATAGCTCTGTTCTCTGCTATGTATTATCGCATGCCAAGATGACTGTTTTTAAATTATTCTTTTGATTGCTTTAAAAGACTACATGAGGAATCAGAAACATTTACCACAAGTTTGCAAGCATGACTAAGCAGGAAAGTGTCTCACAGCATCATAATAAGTCTTCTCCTTTCCCTCTTCTGTTTCTCACCCCCCCTGCAAACCACATATTCCCAAAATGCTTGTTTAAGTTAGTTCAGAACTAGTACATGGGTAATCTGAGAATTGAGTAAAGCTGAATGAATAGTACCATGCGGAGGTCTGCCAATACTAAAAGCCACAATAAGTGATGTAGCAGAAAGTACAGCAAGTGAAGAGCACTTGGGAAGTACATTAATTTGGATATATTAAGACACAAATGTCCATCTGCATAGTCTGTTGTCATTTCATGGAGTGGTTTTTTGGATGCACTACACAAAGCCTGGCAAAACAATTACAAGGGAATTTTCCAGTTAAAACAACACCACTCTACATTCTCCGCCCTGCACCTCCCCACCATGTTCTCTCATGGCTGAGGATATCTGCCAAGAAGAACACTTACTACAGCTAGCAGCTTGTCTTTATAGCAGATCTTTAACAGCTTTACCATCCCACTCAGATTTACTTGAGTCAATAAACAGAAACCTCAGTAAACAGAGAAATCAGCTCTTGCTTGAACAAGCAGGACACCTGGCTGCAGGGTTTTTAAATTGTTTATACACATTCTTTTCACAGCTGTTACTCAGAAAACCAGCACAAATAGTGAATTACAGGAGGCTGAACATAATGTTATAACCACATTCTTGGACAGCACGAGCATGTGTGCACACACACGTATGCATGCCCACCCCACCATAGCTAAACCATCTGCTAACAAAGAGGGTAAGAGAGGCAGAAGGGACATTAGCACCTCCTACCTCAATAACTGAGACAAATGTTTATAAAGCCAGTGTGTTTTATTCAAACAGAGAACGGAAGAACTTAGTTGCATAGAAATGCCAGATAAGAAGTCTGTGTAACACAAATACTGCCTACGTTTTTGGCTTTTTTTCAACAGCATCGTCAAATGACAAAGACATCATGCTGGACAGGTGAATTTAAGATCTCCTTTTATTTAAGTGAGAATAGCAACATTCCTCTGCAACAGATGGAGACGGCTTGAGCAGAGCCACTGGGCTCAGTTCAGCCTGGGGCTACAAGAACCCCCCCATGCAGGAACTGAGAGCAGGCAGTTCACACTGTCCTGAGCTAGTGCTGTAAGATGGCCCAGGACAAGAAGCGTACTGCCCTGGCTTGTCAGGCTACCTCAAGTGCCATCAGCACAGGGATCCTGAGGCCATGTGTATGTAGGAGATGAGCACTTACACCACTGCCTTACCTAAAAGGCAGTTCTCACCACAGTGAGAAGCTGTTCCAGCAACACAGATAGAACTGAGCTTCTCTGCATACAGTAACACATATTTAATGTTTTGCTCCTTTCCTTCCCTTAAATATGCCCAGCCAGCAGAGCTAAAAAGCTAATGAAATGGATATTGTACAAACACTTTACTTCTTTAGAGTGTAAGACCTCAATGAATCATTGCTCCCACTGGAAAGAGTGCTGTCAGACTTCAGAGAGCACTGGCAGAAGGAAAAGAGGTTCTTATAGACAAAATAGACCAGGAAGGAATTTTTCTCCACAAGTTAGACTGGATTAATTAAATAAGCTTTCTAAAAATTCTTAATCAAGAAGATATAAAAACATGGACCTGACCTATAAAAGAAAAGCTGTTTGCACATCTACCAGGGTTATCAGTTTCTCACCCACTCTGAATTTCATAACCAGTCATGGGGGATTCAAGCCAGCTCCCACACAAGCCAAAGGGAGGACTTTTTTCAGGTCAGAAGAGGAAAGAAATACTTATTACTCATCCAGTCCCTTTAGGACTCCCACTTCTGATCAAACTGATAGGCTGCAGTCTCCATTGTACACCACAGAACAAGAGCAGCACCCTCACAGAGCCTTCCTTTAGACAGGAGGCAGCCATCTACCCACATATGCTGAAGCTAGAGGCCCTAAAAACATGAACCCCTCTCCCCTCACCCCACCAAAGAGCCTCAACAAGTACCATTCAGTTGGCACAATGGTGTATAGGGGGACTTGATTTGCATTCTGTAGCTTTTTTTACGAATGTAATAGTAGCAGCACACACAATAGCGCAACTCGCATCTTCAATTACCTATCTCATGGCTGATCATTCACTCCTGATGTCAGCTTTCATTCCCAGATGAGGGTGTGCTCAGAAGAACAAAACAAGTCAGAAGAAACCCTTCAATTGCCTGGCAGGCTAACTAAAAACAGGGACTGACAAAAGCGAGTCCTTCCTCCAGGATCCAAATTTGCACAGACTTCTCACGCAGAAGAATTAAACTAAGCGGAACCAACCTAAGACCAGTCTGTGAAATTTAAAGAATAAAAGTCATACCCTTTATTGTTGCTTATTATGGCAGATCAGGCCAGAGTGTTACTCCTGCTGTATTGTGAACTCTAATTTTGATCACATGAACTCTGGAAAAAAAACACAGTATTCTTCTACTCCACCACTTAGACATGACAGCACTCCCTTTCCTATCAGGCTTCTCCAGAAGAGGTATAGAACTGGGGTGTAATTTAGCTGCTCTAAACTGCTACCAGCAAAGTCACCTCTCTTTCCAGACTAGGTACAGGAGGGGGAACATTTCACAGGGTTAATTTCAGCTCCTGTGAATGCATTTCTTTTTAAGTCTATATTTCAGTTCCCTGTACGTAAAACTCAGATGACATTACCTCACAGCTAAAATAGGTATAACATGTAACAGACAGATCAAAAGTGAAAAGAGAGCACTAAGGGTGCAGTACTTCACTGATCCATACGAAATTACAGTCAAAAACCTGCATACCATCACTGGCCGGCAGACTGCCAACTCACTGCTTCAGAATGTTACCAATACTGAGCTCAGATCACAGCAGAAATCACTGCTCTGTCAGTATCTTAGGTCATCAGACATTCTCTGCTATACATTTCCTTCATGACAAATTTTAATTACTCATATCAGTTCTATTTTTCTGTTTCTTCCAGGTTTTTGGTTTGGTTTTGGGTTGGGGTTATTTGGGGGGGGGGGGGGGTTGTTTTGTTTTTGTTTTTTTTTTTTCCCAGAGCATACTGCAATGGTTTTTTCCAAGCAATTAAGGTAGACTATTGTTCCCTAGTTTGGTTCTATTCTTACAGACCCACACTTTGCTACAGGGGAATAAATTTAGTGAGACAAAGTATCACAACTAGATACTGTCAAAATCTGATTAATATATTATTTTTCCAAACCATCCCAATGCAACAACTTACAGGCTGATGACACAAGTAAGTGTTACAGCCTGTCTCCTCTTCTGTGCTTGCCTATGCTATTAAAGACACCTGAAAAATCACTGCTAAAGCAGCTGCTTCCACATGCATCTAAATTTAAAGTATCATGGTGAAATCTAACAAGCAAATCACTACTTCAAAGTCACCTCAGGCCACAGCTCGGTTCTTGGTGCATATACAGTTGAGGCCCACATGACAGACTCTGAAAAATGGTCCATCCTCAAACAGCAATTTGAGGTTGGACTCTTGGATGAGACAGGTCTGTTTGGGACTTCTCCAAATGCCAGTACTTTCCACCCACTGGCTTATTGCTTGCAGACACAGCAAGAAGTACTGAACTGACTGCGCAGCTGGCTTCATCACCTTTCCCCTCCACAAACAATGGAGCTTCAAAAGTAGGCAACAACTTGCTATCAGTATTGATGGCCATAGACAAGGCTAATTATATTTAAGTGGAAAATGGTACAAAAAAACCTGCAAGATTGCTTACATACTTATTTAGAGCCAAAAGATGGTCTGAATTGTAAACAGATTTTCAGGATGTTGCCAAGGAAGAGCTTCTCTCAATATCTTTATAAGAAAAGCAGCCATAAAAAACATCCAGCTTGTAGCAGTATTTCAAGTCTTGCAGATTAGTCTGACACATTAGCCAGAAGATGCCTGGCACATGATGGCACCTATAAAACTATTTAAAAATTATTAAATACTACGGAAACATATTAATTTTATCCTAAGAAAGCAAACCCTCACCACTGGCTGAAGACTTTGAAACAAGTAGTTTAGGGCCAAAATTCATTCTCCACATTAACTCAGATGCTCCAACGTTCAACCACTCCTCTGATCCAAAGAGCTTTGGATTTAAACGCCTGTCAGTGCCCTACCCAGACTGCACTGTCATATCTTGACCCTCATGTCAGGTTTCACGACATTGCCGGTGCAACATGCAGTTACCTTGCTACAAATAGCTAGCTCTCAGTCATACCCAGGGAGACACAAAAGGCATTGCTCCCTTTCAATATTAGGTGCCTCTTCACCAGCAAGTTCTCTTCTCTCTTTATCACCAAATAACTGCTTCCCAGCCCCTTCCTCCAGTACACACTGGATTTACTGCTCAAAGCAGCTTAAGTCAGCATCACTACCTTTCTTGCCAAAGGGTTTAATGTGCATCTGAAAATAATTATAACTGCCTTGCAAATAATACAACATGATTGCCTCGTTTTTTTAAGGCAAGCCAAAAGAAAAGGAGGAAAAGCTGTTCATTTGCACGCATTAACAAGGATACAGCACAATCATGCAAAACTGCATGCATTTCTTCTAATATAGAATGGCTTGTGTTATCCTTCATTATAATAATAACCTTAGAAACTATAATTATCTTGATTAGCTCCCAACAGTTTTTTTTAAAACCATAGCAAAGAATATTTCTTCCGCACTCCAGCAGGCAAGAAAATTCATGCTAGTCTAAGGCACAGCAAATCTGCCTGCATCTTACTCTGCAGCATCTGCAAGCTCATCCCCTATGAAGCAGCCTAGAGTCAAATCCCACACTGTTAGCAAAGACAGCAAGACTGCATGCTCTTTTTCCACTAGAGCTTATTTTTCAGCATCAGAATTTAGAGTGCACTTTACTGTGCAAAGCCCATAATTTTAGTACATCATGATACTTAACATAACCTTCCATATGCTCGTATAGCATTAAAAAAATCTTCCTGTTCAGAAAGAAGGGGTTTTTTTAATATAAAAATGTCTACTGTCGGTGAACTGTTTCTTTCAATTAATATCAGCAATTTAATTAAAATCAGACATTATCTCAGAAGTGCGGGCGTTGACTCTATTCTAAGATCACCCTAGAATGTGCCCCCTACCATACTGCACATTCTCATTTCTCAGACATACAGAAAACCATACACAAAAATCAGAACTAGTCATAGGAAAAATATCTATGTTTACAGCTTGCTTCTTTGGAAGTTTGCCAATATGCACAGCATGGAAATTATAAACAGACTGGATTCCTGACTTAAACGTAGGCTGAAAAACTTCTTATACTAAATGGTAAATCATGCTCCCTCTGCTGTTACTGTCTTTGAAATACATAATCATACTCTGGGCTCATACTTCCTGCACTGCTTCCCAGAGTATGATTAGCTACATTAAAAAAAAAAAGAATCTCAAGAAATTACGGCATAAGAAAGAAGCAAAATTCTTGTCTGTTAGTGTCATAGCAATGCCAATTTACAACTGTAGAATAATGTTCTACCTGTAAAATATGAGTGCAAGTTACTGGTTGCTATATATATTTACAACATACCTGCAGGATTATGCCCTAGGTCCTTAATGCCAGAAAGCTGAAGTATTACCCTGGTGAGGATGGCTGTTGTGGACTTTCAGCTCAGCTTTGCCCTCGCAGAGCACCTATAAAATTAAGGGGCAAGAGGTTACGTTACAAAAATGTCTTCTGGGAAAGCCTACCTTCAGTACTTTCTACTGAGGAACAGGGGTGATTACTGGCTAGGAATACCAAACACCACAAAGCCAGACAGCTCCAAACATAGTCTTTATTTACACAGCCTCTTTCCTCCTTGCTTCCAGGTTATAAGGACATTCTTCGGTACTTGAAATAAAATTATTCCTGTCTGGTCAAAAGCATGTTTTGCATTACTATGCCACAGCAAGCTATGGTGCCCCAGCTGAGCTCTGACAACGCTCTAGACAGTGCCTTTAGCTTTCACACCAGCCTGCCCTCCGCTGTGTTTGCACAACCCTTTTCCACCCAGGCTTCGATTACCGCATCGTACCGCTCACACACCCGACCGTCTGCGCTCTCCTGGCTTATCACCCCAGCTCAGCTGCACATCTACGTGCTTTGACAAAAATAAGGACAAGCATTTTTTGGAAGCCAAATCTCGGGTTAAAACAAAACGAGACGGGAGTAGAACAAGTGGGTTTGGAACACCTTTATGAGGGTTAAGACGTGGTCTGCTGTACCTGGAGCCTACGGCAGGCTGGAAGCGCGCACACAGCAAGCTGATGCGGCTGACACACAGTAATCTTTCTAAGTGGTAATATCAGTCATCTCTAAACCCAGAGGGCAAGGAAAAGGGGAATCAGCCCTTCCACATTTTTCGTGACGATGATCCCTCCAACGTGCTCACAGAAACCCAGGGATTTTTCCCCGAGAGGTCATTTTCGGCTTTCTCCCCCAGCCAAGCTGCAGTCCCCCGTCAGAAGCCAGCGGCGGGGCGGCAGGACCGACCCCGGAGGCTGCCATTTGCTCACCTCACCAGTTCAACCCAGTAACGAGGCACCCGACCGCGGGTGTTGCTCGGAGGGAGTTACCCGGGACCCGCCGACACCAAACCAGGGGGAAAGAACGCGTTCCTCGGGGACCAGCCCCGCATTGAACCGCGGCACTTCAGAGCTGGATCCCGCTTTCCAGTCAGCTCCCACCCGCCTGCCCAAACGCTCACCTCAGCCTGACGACCACCCCGA